AGGAAGAGCTTCCATTTCACCTCACTCACCTTTAGGATCTTTTTGAAGAATGATTTAAAAATCAAAACAGCACATCAGATCATAGCTCTCCAAACCACAGCAGCCACCAAAAAGTGACACTATTCACAAGCACAGCAGCATTGCAGAACAGGTAATTCTGAAAGCCAGTTGACATTAAGTCTGTCATGCAGGGATATTGTGTGGGAGAGGACCTATATGGAGCAACTGGTAAAGAAAACATACTGACATGACACTAGCAATAACCTACTATTAGCTAAGAGCACAGAACTAAAGGGATCCACCTTGTAGCAAAGAGCTGCAAGAAGGAATTGAGGACAGCTACAGTTGCTCTGATTTTTATGTCTTAATCTAAAGGAATTGGGAGGATACGTGGGGCACAGTCCTACGCAACAGATAGCAAAATTCTGTTCTTCAAAAAAAATCTGATCTCATGCACAAGGGATACAAAAATGCTGAGCATTGGAATCTATGGGTCAACCACTCGAAGAACGGTCATGCTCGTCTACAGGATCCCTTTACCTCATTTTCCTACTGATCTTTAATTGATATATTATACTCAGACAACTCCATTTATATAAGCGTTTTTTAAACCACTCCATAAGTATGGGCAATCCATACCCATAAAGTCATGTAAATGCCTGAATTCATTTGAAAGCTTTATTTTGGCCTGACCTAGGGACCTAGACTTCTGCAGCATGAGCATTCTCAGAAGCAATCCAGTTCAAGAACCTAGGTGCTAAGGATGTTTATACATGTGCTCTGAGAGGAAAGGGGGTGGGTGAAGGGCTTTAATTAGAGCAGCTCTGGATATAGATTTGGAGTCCATTTGGAGCAGTTTCAAAAAGCACCCATCCAAACCTCTGTAATTAGTGCACATCAGAGCAGCCTCGATGCATGTGTATAGGTGCCTTAGAGCGGTGCTTCTCAAAGTGGTGGTCCGCGGACTGGTGCGAGTTGCCAGGAAAGAAAGAAATACATTTTCAGAAGCATAACATTGATATGTCATAGCACCACAGTTCATACGTTCCAACACTCCAGGTGACGTCATGTCGTGCAAGGTGAGAAAAGAGAAAGAAACTGCCGGTCACGCATTTGTGTAGCGCTGTTACACGCAGTTGCTGCCACTGGCTGAACCGGGCACCGGTCCCTGGCCCACTGGAAAACTGCCAGTCCGCCACATCAGATAGATTGAGAAGCACTGCCTTAGAGTACAGACGTATGTGAAACAGACTGGCTTAAATCTGAATCACCGGACATACATACCTATTAAACCCATTTAAAGCTGCCTGGAGCAGTTCAAAAATTTACTTGGAAAATCAAGGATTCCTTTAAACCAGTTCAAAGTTACATGGAGACACCAAGCATTCTATGACATGGGTCTGGTTGGTCCTCCAGGTAATCCACACTACCATTCCTCACCCCCTCCACTGCTGCAACTGGCCATCCTGGTACAGTAACAGAACTCTACTCCTCCCTCCTTCCTCTCCGGTTCTGGGAACTCAAAAGTGGGGGTCCACTGCAGAGTTTGGTCAACCGCAGGTTATTTAAATTTTACTTAACTAAAGTTTAGGAGAAGAGAAAGCAGAAAAGTGAAAAGCTCTCAGTCACAGATCATCTACCTCATAAAATTCCCAAAGTATAAGTGCAAGCACTCCCCACACCCATTCACCCACTGCAAGGGCACGCATGCTGGGCTGGATGCTCATTCTCACTTGCTGGTGTTGGTGCCACAGCACTTTACATATAATTGTGAACCTGTTCCCCATCAGTGACATCTGGGAACAGTTCAACTGTTGTGCGTGTCCACAACTTGAAAGTCTTGTGCTCCAGATCAAGGCTGAAAAGCATCTATACTCTACTAAGTCCCCAGGGAGGTATGACTGTTAGGTGCTAAGGCACACCAACACCACCAAATTCAGTATAAAGCACAATACTCAGGGAACCTCTTGCTTGAAAATAAGGCTGTGGGTGATAGTGCCCAGCTTTTTTTTTTTTTGTTACAATAGCTTACTGTATGGCTGCCCAACTTCTAAACAGATGGGAACTGAATGTCCCATGAGCCACCCCAGCAGGGCTCCCCCTCCATCACTACACCATGCACGTATGCAGATACTGCCCTCCATCCATCACCACACTGCAAGGCCTAGGGCTCACTCTCAGTTCCCTGTGCAGCATCACACTAGGACAGGGCAGAAAGTGGAAACTAAAAGAGGGAAGGGAATCCTAGAGACTTAGGCGGCTATTGCAGCCAGAACAATGGGGGAAAAGGGAGGTAGAAGCAGGGTGGCAGCCAGACAAGATCCCAGGTACTACAATTTAATCCTTCACAGGCCATATGTGGCTTGCAGGCCACCTAGAGCTGGCCTTAGGGGTGGGCAATGTGGGCGATTGCTTAGGGAGCCATGATCAGGGGGTGCCAAACACACACACACGAGCAGCCCAAGCTCACAGCAGCATTCTCTCCCTGCCCCGGGCAGGAGGAGTGATGTCCAGCCCAGCCCAGCCCAGCCTCAGCCACTGGTCAGGAGGAGCCAGG